GTCGTTCTCGACGCCTCAATTAAGGAAGTTTAAAAATGATGAGTAAATTATTGATGACAAGGCGAAGCTCCTGTTAGCCTCCACAGATCTGTCATCAGCAACATCGCAGACAAAAAGGATGCACGCCATCCTGAACACCTGCCTGAACCCCGACAGAGAGATAAAACACAACAAGTAACAAGTATGTGTGTGTGTGTGTGTGATTCAGAGTGTTTCCACATCAGTTCGGATCTGAAACGTTTCAGTGTGTCTCCATCGGAAGAGAGTTTCCTCACAGCAGGAAATCAGCACACCCACACTGACTCAACTCACAACACACACGCACACACACACACACAGGAGTCAATACACTGAAATATGAATTGTTTTGTTATTGACTGAATTGGAGAAGTTGTTACTGGATGTGACACTTTCAGGTATGACTCTGTGATCTTGTCTGTTCTTGTTTTCTCTCGTCACGTCTACATTTAGTTTCCAAATATTGCCCCTTTTACCAAGAAAGCTTTGTGGGTTATGACCAACCACCAGTCTCATTCATAACACTTTTTTTATATTATATTATATTATTATCTGACTTAAGCGGGGGGAGGCATAAAGTTTGTGTCATATGGACAGTATGCAGAAATAATCATCAATACACCAAATAATACCACATACAAAAAACTGCATGGTGTTAGCATAAATTGAAAAGAGGAGACTTCATTCAAATATCTTGAGGTCAGAGGTCAAGGGATCCATTTGAAAATGGCCATGCCAGTTTTTCCTTCGCAAATAGTTTGCCTAACTTTGCAGTGTTATTTAGCCTCCTTTCCAACATGCTAGCACAACATGATTGGTACCAATGGATGGCGTTAGGTCTTCTATTTTCATATGATATATCACTGTACCTTTACCTTTTAACAGAGCTTACCACAGTCTCTGAAAGTTTCAGAGGTAAGGATAATGGGGTTTTTCTGTCATTGTCCACGGTCGTCATCAACAGCAGCTCTTTGGTAATTTACTAATACGAAAGTAGAATAACATAAAAAAAAACTAATCTGTATATGGAACAAATGTTTTAATAAAATGTGAGCTGATTTATAATTTAATAAATTATTTGTGCCACATATCACATTTCATATTATTATAGAAAAACATTGCTCAGCATTTACCTCGGCACAGTTTATATTTTGAACAGTAGCCCACAACGGACAAACCAAACACTGGCTCTAGAGGGACTTTCAATTTTTGTTTTGTGGCTGACGTAGTTTCTCCTACACGCAGTTTGCAGTTTCATCCCTCAATGCCACTAATCCTGATCATATGAATAAAGTTTCTGTTCCTGCGTTGACTTATTTATTTCTCACCTAAAATCTGTTCACAAACATATTTTACTGTTTATCTGGAATGCCAGATTGTGTGTGACCAGGCGAGCTGTCATTGTTTCTTGTTACTGATGACCAAGAGAGCCACTGCTGTTGGTTACAGAAAACCAACATGGCGACAACCATAATGCCGAACGGCTTTGGTTCACACTTGCTAGCATCCCATGGTAAAATATTGTGTCAGATTTGGTAACCCCCTTTGTTTTTCTTTATAATCAGGACAAAAAATTAAGTAAAAAATTAGTAAAAGTAAAATTGTCAAATTGCTCTTATTCCTGCTCCCCAGAGGATAACACTTTACATTTGAATGAGTGTAGCGTCACCCTCAGGACAAACTTTTTTTGGATTATATTTTATGAATATTTAATATTATATTCAATAATAACAATAACAGTAGAGAACAGCTGATAAACTGTATAATTAACCCAAACAGTGAGAAGGCCTTGCGACCCCCGTGAAGCTTTGGTGACCAGATCGGGTCCCGACCCCCAGGTTGGGAAACACTGACTCTAAGAACAGTTAAATTATCGTGCTGTTTTATTCTGTTCAGCACTTTCACATTCAGGCTGTAACAAACATTGCAGCCTCTGAAAACTTTACTCCCATGTATTAACCACTTCTGAACAAATTCAAACAACAGTATGAAGCGCAACAAAACTTGGAAGAACCACAGTTTCAGATCAGTCACGAGAGGTTTTTAAGAGATCAGCCGTCAGCAAGTGTCAGTAGTATATGTATTGTTCAGGCTTACCCGGTTATTAGACAGCCATGATGATCTGTTTTTGTGTAATTCAGCCCACTAAGGTGTGAATCCTCCTCTGATACTTCCTCCAAGTCAACTACAACAACCTCATAACAACCTCATAGCTGACTGTCCTGACCCCAGAGCTGCTCTCACGTCACACTAACTACCTGACCGAGTGCACAACTAACCCACGTAACTATTTAAATAAGCAGCGAGAGAGCAGAGACATCTCTGTTCCTTCCGTCTATTTCTCGCCCTCTTCACATGAAATCAATGACAAACCAGGGGCAAGAAGAAACAAGTGAATGGAGAGAAAAAGGGAGTGAGAGAGAAAGTGATAGTGAAGGAGAGAAAGTCAGAATGTGAGGTGAAGGAGAAGAGTCAAGGCAGCAGGACTAGACATGTCCTGTTTTTCTGGCCGTTATTACCCTGATTCAAGGTGTTCGGAGAGAGAGAGAGACAGGCAGAGAGACCTGAGGGTAGAGAGAGAGAAAAAACAGAGAGAGGATGAGTCAGAGAGCGAATGAAGAGATAGATATGGATGAGAGGAAGAGAGATGCTCCAGGCGTTGATTATTAACACACCAACAACAGCTGCTCATGAATCATTCATGTCAAATCATACAACACACCGGTAACAGCAGCAGCACAAAAACACACTCTTATCTTACACACATCCACACAACAACAAAGATTACAAGCTGACTGTTCACCACAGCGGAAAAATCACCTTTATATGAGCAAACAGTGACTCAAA